AGGTGGCTCCAGCTGATGTACCCTCCGTGCATCTCCCACAGAGCTATTTTTAGTCTCTTTTTACGATGAGAACTGAGGTAGAGGTGCCCTGGGGGTGGGCAGTATGCCCTGCCACCGATACCTGCGCTCACTTTGGCCGTGGCGCAGCTCCGGTGGAGATCAGGAGCTGCAGCTCCCACTTCTTCTCCCACTTCCAGTTCCAGTTATGGAAAACACCCACGAACCTTGGAGACAGCTTCTGGCCAAGAGCTGTTGCTGGGACAGAGTGTTTGTAGTCTTGCTGTCTGACACAGCTCTCTCACTACCTGAAAATACCTGACGGTCCAGCCTCGTGCCTTGAAGGGCGTACTGAACTGTGATCTAGTGGGTAGCCTGACCTCCAGCAAGTCCATTTGAACAGTGACCTGCAGTGTCTGCAAACAGACAGACCTGCAGACTGGGGGAAAGGAGGGAGGCAAGTCAAGAGAAATAAAGTTGAATAAATATTTGCTCTGTGGCATCTACTGGAGAAATTCCTCCAGCAGGAAAACACACTGCAAATAAAGATACCCTGTGCTGCTGGCTCTCCTTCCACCGCGGGACGGCTCGGCTTGGTTTTGGCCCTTTGGGGCTCTCAGGCATCCTTGAAAATCAATCTTGACCACCGTGCTGTAGGCGAGGGACTCGCTGGGTTGGTGGGAGCCGGGTCCCAGGGGAATCACTGGATGCTTTGGAGCCGAGCTGCGACCACCCAGTGCCCGGGGCTGTGTTTGGAGGAGGAAAACCAAGGGACATCGGGCAGGGCTGCTCAAACATAGTGCTGCTGCCGTACGAAAAGCCACGCAGGAAGAGTCATTAGGGCTTGAGCTAATTATAGTCTGTCTGGGTGGTGGTTGGAGGTTGATGAAATAGGAAGTGTTTTCGATCTGCACGGCTGCTTCGCTCGGTAAAGGGGGGGCTCGGTGACACGCAGAGGGGGAGGCACCTGCAGCGCCTGTTTCTTGCAAGCAGGAAGGCAGGACGGGTCCGGGCAGCGAGGTCACGCGGCGCCCAGTTGAGTCAATGAGGTGGCTCCAGACAAGCTCTGGGGATTCACCTGCCGATGGTTTGGGGGTGGCTGCCCCTTCTCCTGGAGGTTGCTGCCCCACGGAGCCGGGGCTCAGCCAGGACCGGCACGGGGCTGTGGGGAGATGCTCGGTCTGTCCGCACGGCCGGTGAGACGGGCACGGTGACACCGATGACACCAACGGCTGTGACTTCCTTAGGTTCAGATGTGCTTTACTCTGTCTCGGTTTGATTATCTCCAGCACAGATTATCTCTACCCCCCTCATCAGGGAAGCTGTTAGATTTAATTTGTTAACACTGGTAAAGCTCCGCTTCTTGGATGGCTGGTGTTACCTGCAAAAACTGTTGTTTGATTTATCATTATTCCTTAGTTTTTCAAGGAGAGTTTTAATTTTTCCCCTTTGTGCCAGTCGAGGTTTCTCCTGTAGCCTTTGCTGTTGTTGTTTTGCACTGAGCAGAACATTGACTCATCGGCAGTCTCTGTGATAACTATAATTAGGAGAAAATGCATTTACAAAGCTCTTTCCTCTGATGCAAGCACATGATTGTCCTTGCAGAGAAATCATTCTTGCCGTGCTTTCAGGTGGGTGTGGGCAGCTAGTGATTACATTTGACACTCATATTATTTGAGTGGATTTTCCTAGCTGGATGTGCTACCTACGGAGCAAGTGGTAGTCTGAAGCCATCTTTACACTCCCCGCTTGTTTTGAGTGTAAGTCTCTACAGATGCATTTAGACATATAGGAAAAGAATATGAATTTATAGAATGGAGTAGTAATCAAAGAGAGCACTTCAGGATGTGGTTTAGTGGGCACAGTGGTGTCGGGTTGATGGTTACAGAATCACAGAATCACAGAATGTTAGGGGTTGGAAGGGACCTCGAAAGATCATCTAGTCCAACCCCCCCTGCCAGAGCAGGACCACCTAGAGTAGATCACATAGGAATGTGTCCAGGTGGGTTTTGAATGTCTCCAGAGAAGGACACTCCACAACCTCTCTGGGCAGCCTGTTCCAGGGCTCTGCCACCCTCATAGGGAAGAAGTTTTTTCCTCATGTTGAGGCAGAACTTGGACTTGATAGTCTTAGAGTTCCAACCTAACGTTTCTGTGACTCTGTGACCGTGTCATATACCCAGGGACTTTTTTGGTGCTTTTGAAAAAGAAAAGTCAAGAGAAAAATATTTGCTGGAGTTTTGTCAAAACATCAGCTGGGGAGGAGGCTTGTCGGGCGGACGTCTCTGCTTGGCGATCCCTTCCCCCTGCTGTATCTGAGCTGCGCTTTGGATGGTGCCTTGCTTTTGCAGACAGCCACGTGGCGCTTTGTGCCCCGCTCTCAGGCAGGTCGGACTTATTGCCCGGGTAGCCCAGCCCTGCTGGCCTGGCTGCCTCCCCCTGCCACCCCCAAATCCCTTTGCCTGCCCCCAGCGTAGGGGCTGGGAGCTTGGATGACTCTGCCTGCCTCACTGGGGCGAGAAAAAAGGCTGTGAGCTCACAGCGTCCCCTCCTGCCCCTCTGCCCTGAAGCCAGAGCTGCTCTGCAGCCTGCTCGTTGCTTTTTTGGGTTCAAGCCATTAGCACCGAACCGTGCTCCCCCCACCTTCTTTGCACACCAGCATCGCTGTGCGTGGCTTTTGCTTTTCCCGGTTGCAAACACCCGCTGGAGGGAACAGACCTTGGCAACATTATAAAGAGAAGTGAAGACTAGTTGAGCTGCACAGGTCTTTTTCTCTCCAACTTTACACCTTGCAGAGCCGTACAGGGTTTGGGGCCAAGGAAGAGCCGTCGGTCTCGTAGCCCATTAAAATGCTTCTGCGCTCATCAGAATAACTGCTGGGAGAGGAGGCAGAGCTCAGCCCCGCTCCAGGCAGTCAGAAAGCTCATAAAGGTCTCCCTTTGCTTCAGGGGGAAAAGCACAATTTAGAAAACTTATCTTAGCAGCTAAATAATTGGAAATACCTACGCACATCACAGGCTGCTGCGTTTTACTTCGTCACCTCAATAGTTGCAGGTTCAATAGCTGAAATTAATCCTCCCGTGCCACTGTAGATAACAGGAGAGATTATGGCCCCGGACTGGCAACAGCCCATTTCTGCGGGTGCGGAGGCGCTGGTTCGGCAGGCACAGGTCAGTCACTTACACCCACGTGCGTCTGATCCCGGATTAACTTGAGACACCCCTCTGAGGGCTCCCAGTAACATTTTCCATCACCAGTTACCCCCCACCTGCCCTCTACCTCCTGGGGGTGATTTATACCCAAAACCTCCTGCGCGTATCATCCTGCTGGGGTTGGTCTGACCCGGACACGCGGCCCGGGAGCCGTTGGGTTCGCTGTGCTTTGCCATAGCAAGCTGAAGCCGGTGGAGCTGCTGCTGCTGGGGCAGGCGATTAAAATCAAATCACCTCAGGTTTTGCAGCAAATTAAGATAGGACTGCTCCATATCTTCCTCTTGGCGTAAGACCAGGAGGGACTCTGAGAGAGTTTATCAGCCAGATCGAATGGCTGAGGCAGGTCAGCCCTTGGTTACTTATTCCTCCAGCAAGGACACGTGAGCTTTTCTAGTTCCTGTGTTCTTTTGTACGTTCGTACATGTGCACAGTAATGACGGTTCCAACCTTCAAAGGACCAGCTGACCCG